ATATCAATCTGTTGATTTCATTGGCTGAGCAATAAAGAAACTGCTGGCCCTGATAGGTTAAAAGATAGGTGGGCGGAATAAACAGGATAGAATTCTGGGCGGAAGAGGAAGTGAGGTCAGACTCTGCTCTGCTCCTGGAGAGACTCTGCTCTCTGGAGCACAGACACCATGCTCCACTCTCCCAGGATGGACAGAGGCTAGACTCTTCCCGGTAAGTGCACCTTGGGGTGCTTACACACATCATTAGAAAGGGGCTAGTCCAGGTGCGAGAATTAGCCTGTAAGGGCTAGAGTTCATGGGCCAAGCAGTTCTTAAATGAATACAGTCTGTGTGTTGTTATTTCGGGCATAAGCTAGCAGGCGGCCGGGGTGTTGGGGACGCAGCCCCGCCGCCCTTATTTCAACATCTACTACATGCAAAGAAAGGAAGACAGAAATGGTAAATTTAATTCTTAAATAAAAACCCCATTGTGTAAAAGAAAACAGCATGAAAAATGCAGCTACTAGAGGTAAGCACAAATACAAAGGTAGACACCACATCAAGCCTGCAATTCTTTTAGTTTCTTAAGATTTTAAAAGAATATCAACTCTAATAAAAATCACGGCTTTGAAAGAAATGAAACAAAGAAATGGGGAGTTGGTGATGTGGCTCCATGAGGAAAGACTTGATCTCTGGCCTCCACATACTGCTGTGGTACATGTGCATGCAGACATAGACAAAATAAATAAATGTAATAAAACAATTTTAAATGAACAAAAAGTAGGATGGCCTGAAATACGGTCCCAAATGACATTATAAGCTGGGACACACAAGGCATCATCATCTCCATTTATTACAAACTATTAACAATGTATTTTGAAAATCTTTTTCTAAGAACAAATAAGAAAAAGTCTTTAAACTTACTTTGTTGATACCCATGGGAGGCCTACCCCTTTCTGAAGAAAAACAGAGGAGTGGATTGGGGGATGAGGGGGGGAATGGGAGAAGAGGAGGGAAGGGAAACTGCAGTAGATGTAAAAGAAATAAATTAATTTAATTTAATAAAAGGGGGGGGACAGGCAGTGGTGGCACTCACTGTTAATACCAGCACTTGGGAAGCAGAGGCAGTCAGATCTCTGAGTTCAAGGTCAGCTTGGTCTACAGGGTGAGTTCCAGGACAGTCAGGGCTACACAGAGAAACCTTGTCTCGAAAAAAGAATACAAATAAAAAAATGCTTTAAAAATGCACATAACACATTCCCAAATTTTAAAAAAATCATAAACATCTTCCCCATGTATAATCTTCAGAAATGGTTCATGACTCATATTCAAGACATTAAATATATACACTAACCTTACATAAGGTACAGGATCAGTCTGAATCATATTAAGTAGCCACTGAAGTTCTTCATAACTCCGGTCCACTGAAAATAAAAATGAGTAAATATATGTAGGGTTAATTATAACAAATAAAATAGCAAGTGATAAGCAGGGACATTAAACTAGTGCCCAGTATGTAGTTCACACTAAAATTCAACCAAACACCAATACAAGTTATAATTCATTAAAAGCCATAAATTAGACAAAAACCTGTTGGACAAAATCTGCCAAACTTTGTAGATGCTTAAGTCCTAGAGAGGCCTGACATACAAAAGCATCATAAATATAAACATGTTTCTGTCTACATGGTTCCTTCCACTAAGATCCAAGCCAGTCAGCAAGGCAATCACAAATACGCGTTATGACTGTAACTGACATAAGATACACACTAACTGTTGCCAATTACCTTTTCAAGACATTTTTAAGAATTGGAAAACTTGCTGGGCGGTGGTGACGCACACGCCTTTAATCCCAGAACTCAAGAGGCAGAGGCAGGAGGATCTCTGTGAGTTTGGGACCAGCCTGGTCTACAAGAGCTAGCTCCAGGACAGGTACCAAAGATACACAGAGAAACCCTGTCTCGAAAAACAAAAACAACAACAACAACAACAACAAAAAAGAATTGGAAAGCTTTACGTACAAAACTTTTCCTTCTTTCCTCTTCTAATGTGAGCACCAATATTTTAAGCTACAGAATTTATGGTTAGTACCTAAGCATCATTCAATATTTCAAATTATACTTATTAGTTTTGTATTTTTTTTTTATATTTACTTATTATGTATACAGTGTTCTGCCTACATGTGCAGGCCAGAAGAGGATGCCAGATCACATTACAGGTGGTGGTGAGTAACCGTGTGGTTGCTGGGAATTGAACTCAGAACCTCTGGAAGAGCAGTCAGTGCTCTTAACCACTGAGCCATCTCTCCAGCCCCAGTTTTGTATTTTTTAATAAAAACATTTTAGTATTCTATTTCATTTTGGGTAGTATTAACTCATGAATTCTTCAAATTTCGGAGACACATACCCTTCATCTATCTTAGGAAAGAAGGTTAGGCACACTAACAAATTACATGATTTCAACAAGTCTAGATTTTAAGTTGGCAAAATATCAAAACATATACAGACACAGAATTATATATGTTCACTGCTTGTCAAATATTTCATTTAACAACAGCAAATCACATTTATATCATCTCTGAAATGAAAGGATATTAAAATGGCAGTTCTTTCTGAATCAAAGCAGACATTCGTAAACACGATATGGCTACCACTCTGTTTCCTGACTGTAGGCATTTCTGCAGAAATGTATAAGAATTAAATAAAAAGTCTTAATTATACATGTTTCTGGTTTACACACGACCTGTGACTCCCTATGACACTTCCCCTCTCCTTTCATTCTAAGCAGAGCTCGGTATATGTCAACTTCTTTGTTCTTTCATTATTTCTGTTACAAGGTTAACTTCTGGACAGATGTTATACTTGTGCATTTCTTTTTCTTGCATATAACTATTAAACAATTATTTCTGAAATAGACACTGAATTTTACCACAAGTTTAGCAAGCATTTAAGCTTAATGCTATTTTATAGAAATGACTGGTTTTCACCAGCTTCTTCATTTTACACATTCATCTATCTTAATTATTATTTTGGTTTACATATATTCCATCTGAAAATTTCTTTTGCAAGTTTTGTCATTAAGAACGCTACACAACGGGACTGGAGAGATGGCTCAGCAGCTAAGAAACTTACTGTTCTTGTAGAGAACTACAGGTCAGGTCCTAGCACCTTATCAGGCAGCTCACAATAACCTTTAACTCCAAGTCCACGGAATCTGAAAACATCTTTTGGCCTTTGTGGGAATATGTATGTGTGTGTATGTGACACACAAACAAACAAAAACCAAAACCAAAATGATAAAACTTTTTTTTTTTTTCTGAGATAGAACCTCACTATACAACCCTCATTGGCCTGGAACTTGTTATGTAGACCAGGCTGGTCTCTAACTCCCAGAGATCCTCCAACCTCTACCTCCCAAGAGTGAGGATTTTAGAAACATGTGCAACCATTCCTGGCACAAAATTAAATCTTGGGGAAAAAAGAATGTTACTCAAGAACTGTGTGGATGTCTAATTCCCAATGTAAATGAGAACCTGGCAACCTATAGGAGAGAATCTAGAACTCACACAGCTGTGTGGTTTACTGTCTTCTGCTTCCGACTCTGAAGCTGGTGGCCACACTATGTTATACAGAATGCTGCTGCTCCTCCAGATGGACAGGGAGGTCTGAGTTAACTCAAAACTGACTCTGCTTCTGCATCAAATTCAGTATCATGGTGATAACTTTGGGCGTAACAGAGCAAGTACCACCTGGATAGCATTACCTTTAGTGTAATCAACAACAGCTTCCAAAGCTGCTATCCTGATGTCCACAAAATGGCCATACTCAGCATAGGATTTGAAAAGAGATGAATCACTTGGCACATGTCCATTCTTCTGAAGCACCCTTATGGCTCTCAAACAGCTAGTGAGAAAAAAGTTAATTACAACCTTTGAAGTATCATGAACTAAATTTATTGCTATTACCTAGGTATTAGAGATTCATTTGTCAGTCAGTTAAAAATCTTTATTTCGGGGGCTGCAGACATGGCTCGGTACTTAGGAGCACTGGCTGCTCTTCCAGAGGACTAGGATTCCATTCCCAGCCACCACCTACAGGTGTGAGGTAGCTCACATCTGTCTCTACCAATTCTGATGCCCACACGCACAGACATACGAGCAGGCAAAACCCTCACACACATAAAATCAAATAGAAACAATTTTTAAAAATACTCATGATTTGCTGGACAGTGGTTGTTGAAAATATACTAAGCTTGGCAGTGGTAATATGCACCTTTAATCCCAGTATTCAGGAGGTAGAGGAAGGCAGATATGAGTTTGAGTTCAGTCTGGTCTACAGAGTTGCAGAACAACAATGATTACAAAGAGAAACCCTGCCTCAAAAACCAAAACAAAACAAAAGACTTCAGGATTTGATTGCACATTGAATTCTGTAATGTTCAATGTTTGGATAAAATTTTAATATTAATACTTAAATACCATAAAAACTAATTTCAACATGTTTGGAATCTTAGATCCACGTATATGTCAACAAAGCACACTTCAGAAAAAAGTACTTAGCAATAAAAATATAATAATTTTAAATGGAGTATGTTCTTCAGAAATCTATTATTTATTCACTATAAAAATGGAAAGCTAGCTGGGTGTTGTGCGCACACTTTGGTCCCAGCATTTGCTCAAGTGGGGGTCGGGGGTAAGATTGGTGTGGGGCAGAGGGAAGCAAATCTCTGAGTTCAAGGCCAGCCTGGTGGTCTACAGGTCAGTCTGAAAGGCACAGTGAGATCTCAAATAAATAAATAAATAAATAAATAAGTAAATAAATAAATAAATAAATAAATGAAATAAGGGAGCTAATTTTTTTTTTATAATCAGTAATCAACTTTTAGCAAACTCAAACAAAAAGCAGACAGAGATCTGCAGTTCTGAAAAGAAGGCTGACAAGCTAGGTCTGGTCGCACACCAGTACTGAAAGAAGGCAGGAGGATCAGGAGTCACCAAGGTAATCCGTGGCTAAATAGGCTGGGCTACACGAGACCTGTCTCAAAGACCCCAGTGGGGCTCTTTACACAATAGTGACTGTTATAAAACATGATCCCAAGAAAATAATTTCTTATGACGAATTTCTAGGGTTGGTCAGACAGCTCAGCAGGTGAAGGCACTTGACATGTGTAAGTGTGGGAACCTGAGTTCCATCCCGAGTCCACGTAAAGGTGGAAAGAGAAAATCAAATCCATAAAGATGCTCTCTGACCGTGACAAAAGCATCATAGCACGAGTGCCCCACAAACCATGTGCTTGCATGTGTGTACATGTGCATATGCACAGAAGGACAAAATAACATATGCTTTAGAAAATTAGAGAATACAAATAATAGAGATTATATTAGATAAATTTAAAACTAAATTACAAAGATTAAAACTTTAAAGGCTACTTTCCAAATATTATCAATTTATCTGGAGATGACAACAACAAAAAAATTTAAATTTAAAAATTTCTTACTTTTACTTTCCCCAATTTAATAGAATAGGAATAATGGTATAGTTGTGGAAATGTAAGACACATTTAAAGAAGCAGCAAAGAACAGCACCTGACGGTGATAGTGTGTCTGTAACTTGGGAGAAGTTTTTCCATATTCAGAAACCGAGTTATTTCCTCAAGAATTAGCCGAACATCAGGATTTAAGTTATCCAAAGTTCTAACTTCATTATTCACACTGACAGCAGGTGTAACAGAATTAGCCAGAGCATCAATCATTTCTGCACGATAATAGTTATCTGAAAACTAAGCCAAAGAATAATTAAGAACAAATACAATTAAGCCTTTTCATGAGATATTAAAACAACACATAACTTTAAATCATGTCAGGTCAGAAGTAAGCAGAGCACATCTCTTATATGCACAAAGCCCTGACTTCATCACCAGCAACACACACACACACACAGTGAAAACATAATGCATCTATCATCAAGTTTTCTAGTAAATACCAACCTATCCTTTGTATAGACTTGTGATTTGGAAAAAAAAAAGGGAAAATGCTACACTCATCAGTGAACTATTAGTATGTTAAACACTATGTCTAAGATCCTCCTACAATCTCCTAACCAGACTACAGATTGTCCAAAAGAGAAAAACAAAGATTGGTGGTTTACTAGCATCTGGTAAGATGATTCAGTGGATAAGGAGCTTGTACTTTGTTAAGTCTAAAATAAACATGAAAACTTCATTGCATCCTCCCAATTCCTTTATCAAGTATGAGGACTAGAGTTCAAGTCCCCAGTATTTACATAAACCCAGGCAGGATGGGAACCCACCTGAAAGCCCTGCACTCGGAGGTAGAGCAGAATCCCTAAAGCAAGCTGACCAGCTCAATTAGCCAAACTGGCAAGCTCTGGATTCCAGTGAGAGACAGCAATCAAGAAGTCACCTGAGATGAATCCCAGTGTTTGGCTGCAGGGGCATACACAGAAACATGCAACCCCACACACAAACGTTCTTACACACACAGACCCATGTGCACACCACTAACAGACACACCTACAAATGAATAAAGCATTAGTCTACAAGTCCTGTTACCAATATGACCTTCCAATCACCTAGCATTCCACCTTGAAGTATAAGCATACTTTATCTAAAGATCACCATATAACTGAGGAAATTATCAACAAAAGGAACAGGCGGATGCACTCAGGGGTCTGGAGAGGTGGCTTACTTAGCTCAGTGTTTAAGAGCACTTACTGCTCTAACAGAGTACTGCGATTTGGTTCCCAGCAATTACGTGGAGGCTCACAACTCCCTCTAACTCCAGGTCCAGGGGCTCTGTTACCCTCTTCTGGCCTCTATGAGCTCCTGTACACAGTGCATACACAGACAAGCTGAACACATGTATACATACACACTTTAAAAAAAGAAAAGATAAAGAAACACACACACATAAACATATACACACATGCACGCACACACAATAAATAACTCACAAATGACTCTATAAACAAGTATTCTTCCTTCCTTTTATTGCAGTTCTGGAGACGAAGGCACCCACATAACACCCTAAAACAAGTATCACTATTCATTGAGGAAAATGCCATACCTTATTTTTCCTGTTGTCATTGTACTTGATTAAGTCTAAAATAAACGTTAAAACTTCTTTGGGACAAAGATTATGTACATCTCTTAACAAAGCCATGGCAACTGGCATAGTCTACAAAAAAAAAAAAAGAAAGAAAGAAAGAAAGAAAAAAGAGCTTTACGCACACAACTCAACTTCATTACTATGGCAATTCGGGCTATGAAGAGCATTACTCTGGGAATAACACAGATATTCAGATGGAGCCTAATACCCCATCTCCCACTACACACCCATCAAAAAGCATCACTCTGAAATGGGTAAGAAATCCAGGGATTATTTTCATGACTGGACATATTCTACAGGCTATGTGCCTTAGCCCTCACTTGCTGGAAGGAAGTATATATGATATAAATGGTCTTTATCCATTTCTAAGTGATACAGTGGAATGGGTATACGATTTTAGCACTGGTTCATTCTAACTGCCATCTTCACTATCCACTACTCTGCATATCTTTGGCTAGTTGCTTCCTCGTGATCATTTTTAAGGCTCAGTGACACATGGGCAAGAGGGATTAAACAAACTACGGCTTAGCAGCCCTTGAATTAAGGGCAGATAGTAACCTAAAATTCAGCAAACCTTTCTTCTAAAATTTTATAAGCAACTTTCTGTTAGTGGAAACATGAGACACAAAATAGCAAGTTCTGCTAGTGAAATAAAGCTATTTAAGCCCAAGATAGAATAGTAGATGCATAGAAATCTTGGTCCTCCTTAGAACATGGGAGAGATAAAGACTTTCCCTTGTAAACTGGACAATAAAAAATAAATGACTCATTTTCTTGTTTAGAAGAGCAGCAACGAGAATGTGGTACATTCTTGTTAATGCCAGCACACTGGAAGAAGATGAAGGAAGATTAGGAATTCCAGGCCAGCCTGAGCTACAGAGCAAGAAAACCTGTCTCAAGTAAAAAGGGGCAATATACAGAGGTAATAAATAGAATCAACTGTAGTGTGACAGTTAATCTTCACTGCCAGTATGACTGACCTAGAGTCACCTAGGAGACACACGTGTCTGAGGGCATTTCCAGAGCTTTAGCTGGAAGGTAGGAAGCTCCATCCTGTGGGTGGCACTATCCCACAGACTGGGATTCCAGAACAAATATGGAGAAAGTAAGCTGAGAACCAGCGTTGATATTCCAATGCTTCCTGGCTGTAGGCGCACTGTGACCAGATGGACTACACCCTCTCCAGCTGTGAGCCACCACAAACCCGGCCTTCCTTAGGCTGCCCTTGTCACAGCAATGAGAACAGGTACTAACGCAGGGAAAGTTCCTTTTGCGTACAGGAAAATCTGTTCTCTGCCTACTCTGCACCTTAAGGGAAATATAAGCGTTTGAGTTAGGCACTCTTTTCTTCTGCCAACTACAAAAGTTACATAAAAACGCATTATCTTCCCAAGTTTCCTACTTCAATCCACAATAAGAAATAAACTTTACACTGCAACTTAAACACTTTTAATTCCAGCACTCGGGAGGCAGGGGCAGGCAGATCTCTGCGAGTTCAAGGCCAGCCTCCTCCTGTTCCAGGACACGCTCCAAAGCTACACAGAGAAACCCTGTCTCAAAAAAAAAAAAAAAAAAAAAAAGGCCTTATAATTATCTTTATGACACACATATGTTCTTATCCTGTCCAATCTTCTTTTATTAGAAAAAAAGCCAGGCCAGTAGTGGTTGTGCATGCCTTTAATTCCAGCACTGTGGAGACAGGGGCAGGCGGATCTCCATGAGTTTAAAGTCAGCCTAGGGCTACACAGATAAACCCTGCCTCCTGAACACCCCTCCAAAAAAAAAATAAATCTCTAACCTCCATATTACCTTTCTTTCATGTTTTTACCCCTCTAACCAGAGCCCGCCACCAGCTCCTGCTAATCCTACTTCTCTCTCCAGTCAGGACCGCCCCTCCAGTATCTTGTCTGTTTTTCTTTCTGTACTACTTTATTTCTGGGTGCCCACTGAGGTTAATTAGGGTCGCGTATGGGAACATGGCACCTCTCCCTGCTACACCACTGAAGACAGCGACTCTCCCACTCTCAATGTCAGCAGCCTTGACGCCCTAAGGGCGGGTGGGGGTCTAGTGAGTCCCCCTCCTTCGACAGAACCTTGAAGGTGCCAGCTTGAGAAGGTCTTGTGCTGATAATCTCCACTGCTAAGAGGTCAAAAGTGTAACAGCCCTGCCCCGCCCTGCCCTAAAAGTGTCCCCCAACAATCTCTGGGCTCTTTTATTGCTTCCACAATTGTCTGAGCTACAGAAACGGTTTCACTTCAAAGAAAATTTCCTTTCTAAAAGGCTTGAGGAAAAAAATTGTGTTCATACCTTTTCTTCCATTTACCTCTTATGTCCTCCCTTCTGTTCAAAGCCTGGCCTGTGTTTTATATTAACTTTATCCTCTGGCTTCCGTTATATCAAATACGCCTGGAGGTTCCTAATCTTCCACATGGAACAAAACAAATCCCAGTGATTCTTTTCTCTGCTTTGTCCTCAGCAGCTGCCCACCTCTTCAACTAAGATCGAGACATCACTTTTATTTCTTTTCTCTTCTTTAACTCCACACTTCATTACTAATTTGAGTTAATCTAACCTTAGTCTTCATTCTTCAGACTAACTGTGTAAATGATTTCCAAACCACTCAACAACTAGTCACCTTCCCATGCTTCAACGTACCCACACTTCCACTCTCCCTCTAACTTCCTGCAAGTTTAACATTAAACACGCTCTATACACTTAGTCTAATTTCTTAATTCTAACAAAATAAATGTGGCATCTAGCAGAGCTGTGGCTAGCACTGCCCTCCCTGTGCAGCACCTTGTAGGCGGCCAAGGCGAAATGACACCTGTCTCCAAGCAAACAAGCAAGCAAAGCCTTGGTACTCTGAGCTGGGCTGCTTCTGATTCAGAATGTACTGTCCCCATTCTAAGAGGCCATCTATCAGAGGGTGTGCACATACTCCATACCTCAGCTCCACAGGTTACCAACCAAAGGGCATTCATTTCTCTTCATGTTACAAGTGATGTAGATATGATTTGTATAAAGTTGAAAAAAATTAGTAACCACTTAAAATTTTAGGAAACTTCAGAGCAGAGGTAGACTTGTAAGAAATACACACCTATCATATGAATAATCTCCAAGTTAAATACATATACAAGAGTTTGTGAATAAAAAAATCATACTAGGTGAGCATCACTACAATTTGCTTATTATAAAAACAGCACTAGGAACAAAGAGAAGCAAGGAGTACCTTCTGTAGAAAATAACTCTGAAAACTCATGAAGTTGTTTGTTTTCACGATGTTTGGACAAGTTTTACAACAAAACATTCGAGTAAAGAGAGACTTCATGGCTGGTGGTCCCGTCCATGTGCTCACCATTGAGTTTGCAATCTGTAAAGAGTCAGAGGATGCACTGCTTCCATCACCATTATAAATACACTTTGAAGACAAAATGGCTTTCTAAAAGCCAGCACTACAGTTCTTGGAAATTAATAGAAGTTGGTCTTTTATTACCCGTTCCCAGGAAAATACACAAACTCCCCCACCAAAAAACCCAACCAACCAAACAAACAAACCCAAGATAAACCAAAAGCCTCACTCCTATGTGCACTTACAGCCACTGTGCACAAGTTAATGTCTAAATGCCAGCATCCTCTTGTGTTCAAGGAATGCATACTTGCAAAGGCTTCTCTGACTAGTTTGTCCCTATCCACGTAGGTAGATGTAATTCTGATGTTTTAAGCTTATAAGGTAAAAATACTACTGTGAGTTTTAAATGTTTTTCAGTCTATTCGAGGTAAAATGAAGCTAAATATGATGCATTATTTATATGAAGATGAATACTGATGAATATAAGTTCCAGGCCAGTCTAGGGTACATTCCCCTACCCCTACCTCAAGTCATGTACAAGGCCTTTAAGTGCTCCCATGTTGGTATCTGTCCCCTACCCAAGAGCAGAAGCTATGATGTTGAATGAATGGCTGTTTTCTCTTACTCAAGCCACGCACCCTACTCTTGCTGGTGAAAATCCCTGGCACTCTGTTGGCGACCACTCACTCAGAACTAGTACACAGGCTTGAGTGTCCAGTGTCTCTCACTCCGAAGCTGATGAGGCCACAAGGGTACTGCAAGCCCGCCATGCGGTAGCAGCTGCCCAGAAAGCAGTGCCACTGCGATTCTAGCTATTTAAAACTGATCCGGGCACATGAAAAGAAGCCCAGGCTTCACAGGTAAAGAATATCTAAATATCCCAAGATTACAAAAGACAAAATAAAGGAAAAGAAACACTGAACTTCATGTACCAAGCAAATGCTATTGTTTAAGTAAGCAAGGCTAGTACTAGATTACTTGATGCAAAACAACAACAAATTCATAAATTATTAAATATTATTAAAATATGAAAAAAAATTAAGCGACCCCGGGAAAAGGGCTTTCAGAAAAGTTCAAAGTTTAAAACTGTAAAGCATTTCCTTCCCTTAACTATTAAAGTGCAAGACAGTGGCGCACACCTTTAATACCAGCACTCAAGAGGCAGAGGCAGGCAGACCTTGTGAGTTCAAGAAAACAAAAAGCACAAAAAACTCTTACTATTGAAATTTTAGGGCCTATAAAAAGGTTCTGAAATAAAAGAAATTATGATTAAATACTTTATCCTATAGTTTTATGGCTCTGCTCGGAATTTAACAAAAATCACAACTCTTCAGAGCACCATGAAATATATTCCTAGCAAATAATCCTATTTTCTCTGTAACATCTGAGAGTCAGTGAGATGGAGCAAGACTGTCAACGGATGCGTTACGCAGCAGGTAGACAGCACCACTCAGCTTTCTGTCTGTACTCTTCTGGGTTCAGATTCTATTTTTAAAGACTGTTCATTGATAGATTAACTTAACTTTTTGAGAATGTTAAATCATAGACAGTTATTATAGATTATTTACCACTAATTTCAATTCCTAAACCAAAATAAAAGAACTACCACAACGGAACAATAAAATGTGCTGGTTTTATGTATTCTCACGTGAAAACATAAGTCACTACAATCACAGATTCTCTTTTCTATTTTTTTTTAAGATTTATTTATTTATGGTTATGAATGCTCTGTCTGCATGTATGTCAGTCACAGAATTTCTAACCAAATTTTTCTTATTCTTAAAAATATGGTTGGCAATTTAAAAAGGAAAAAAATTCTCCTTGGTTTTTAGTTTAACAATTATACCATTTTTGTACATATCTATTTTATATCAAAGTTTTTTTTTTGCCAGGCAGCGGTGGTGCACGCTTTTAATCACAGCATTCAGGAGGCAGAGGCAGGTGGATCTCTGTGAGTTCGAGATCAGCCTGGTCTACAGAGCTAGTTCCAAGACAGGCTCCAAAGCTACAGAGAAACCCTATCTCAAAAAAAAACCAAAAATAAAAAAATCTTTTTTTTTTTTTTAAATCAATGCTGTTAGAAGCATTTGGTACAAGCTTTCCAAAGTATAGTTACCAAGAAAAAGTTAGATTCAGGTGAGTTTGAGTTCATTCTCAGGGCCTCTATAAAGTGCACAACAGTCAGAGGCAGTCTCCTGTGTAACCTCACCTTCGCAAGACAGAAGCACGCCGCCATTCGGACTCGGTAGAAGCACTGCTCTTGCTCTAGGATGTCGGTGAGCGCCAGGCGCGATGCCGGGGTGGGGAACTTTTCCAGAGCCAGGATGGATTCCTGCTGAGCCACGACGTCTCTCTCATAGCGGAGCTCATACTGCCACATGAAATCAGCCTGCTCAAACTCCACCTTCCTCAGGACGGACATATCTGGGTCTATTCTTATCCACAGCAAAGGGGAATCAGCGCTAGAGAAAACACAATTTTACAACTTTAAAACTTACCTACGGAAACAAAAACAAAGCAGTCACGACTCAGCCTCTCCTCTAGACACAGTATTCTCAGGCTACTCTAAGTCTTATTATAGTCATATTTTAAAATTCAACCAACTTTTCACTGTGTTAAGCTAACTTTCTCACAATCTTACTAACAAGATTTCTAAAGATATGAAGAGTTGCCACATAGGATACCAAATTTCAAATTTTCCACTGAATATATTACTCGGGGAATTTTTATCTGCAATTATAAGATGTCAAAATGTAAATGATACAAACTTTCTTTAACTTCCTATACCTGACTATAGCTATAAACATTACCCCTTATTAGAAATAAAAAAGGGAGCATTTATTTTATTTAATTAATTTTAGTTGACATTAGTATCTTTTAAAATGCTAGGCTCTCCCAACAGTGGTGGTGCATGCCTTTAATCCCAGCACTCAGGAGGCAGAGGTGGGCAGATCTCTGTGAGTTTGAGGCCAGCCTGGTCTACAAAATGTGTTCCAGGACAGTGAGGACTGCATTGAAAAACAAACAAACAAACAAAAAAAAACCCAAAGTTAGGCTCATAACTATCTTTCTCAAGAAAGTTCTGAAATCATAATTTGAAGGCCCATCACTTTATTCTTATCTATTTCTCAAGTAATATGCAAAGTAAAAATCAAGTCTATGTCAATAGTTTAATAAAAAGAATGCCACTTTGTAATACTAATTCAGTTCAGTACTGGGTACTCATGACATACTCAGTATAAAATTATACTTAAGAAATATTAATCAGCCGGGCGGTGGTGGCGCACGCCTTTAATCCCAGCACTCGGGAGGCAGAGGCAGGCGGATCTCTGTGAGTTCGAGGCCAGCCTGGTCTACAAGAGCTAGTTCCAGGACAGGCTCCAAAACTACAGAGAAACCCTGTCTCAAAAAAAAAAAAAAAAGAAAAGAAAAAAAAAGAAATATTAATCAATATCACAATCAGTTATAATCCTAGCAAGTGGGGAGTTAGAAACAGGAGTATCAAGAATTCAAGTCCAGGGACTGGAGAGATGGCTCAGTGGTTAAGAATACTTGCTGTTTTTACAAAAGACCCAAGTTCAAGTCACAGTCCCCACACGGTGGCTCGCAGCTGTCTACAACTCCAGTTCCAGGGGATCTGACACCCTCCTTTGACTTCCACAGGCGCCAGACATGCATGTCATCCATAGACATAGATGTAAGCACAACACACTCGTGCATGTAAAATAAAGTTAAAACAAAAAGGCCAGGCTCAGTAAAAACCACCTGGGCTACAACAGACTAACAGTAAACTTAAATGTAGAAGAGTGGTACTCACACAGCTTGCAAGCACAGAGGCGGCTCACCATGCTCTGGAGCACTGCCCCAAACACAGTCAGTATCACCCTGGGCTCACCGAAAATCTAAATCTCGGCCCACAAGGAACATACTGAGTCGGAACTGGCGCTTTAAGATCTCTGCAGTGAGTCACACGCACGTCGGTTTGAGAGCACTGAGTAGGGAAGCACCAGCAAGAGAGGCCAGAGGCTGTGCGGTGAGGCTGTGCCTGTGCCTACACTACCGCATCGCTTCTTATCTGAGCATGCTCTTTCTTCAATGAGTTAATGGGACTGAATTTCTTTCTAACAGTTTTGCTTGACTTTAAATGGTTTTAAAAACACGCCTTTCAAAGATAATTACATACTTTTAGGTAACTTACTCCATTGCAGAAAGGTCCATGTCAACTTCCTCCCCATTCATCAGTGGGATTTTTTTCTTCTTATTCCTATAGTTAAGAAAAAGAACAATTGAAAACTGTGGAATTTCCAAATCAGAATGGAGCTACCGAGCAGCCAAAGTTCAAATAAAGGACTTTATGGATTGCTAAAAGATATGTCAAACAAAAGTAAATACACAATGAAACGGAGTATAAAAACAAGAAAATCTACCTTGAAGTTGGAGAAAGTGGGTGTTGAAAGCAAATCAGTCTGGAATACATAAGACCCTCTCTCTCTCTCATTAACAACAACAAAAAAAGCAAATAAAAAATTTATTTAAGGCCAGACGTGCTAGCAGAAGTCTATAATGCCAGCACTTGGGCAGCCGAGGCACAAGAATTGCATCAGTATAGTGTACCTAGTGAGTTCTAGGCCACCTTGAACTATGTCCTAAAAATAAAATAAATAAATATATATATATTAAAAAAATCATTCCAAAGATAGAAATGTTTCCACAACAGAAAGCAAGAGCTGGGTGTATAGGGCGCATGCCTGCGATTCTAATATTTGGGAGGTAGAAATAAGACAAAGGCTAGTAGGGCTACATGAGCTCCTGTCTCAAAAGCACCAAAATCAGATGCAAACAAAGTATGTGTGGTAATGCTAACATGAAGGACCACAGCTAGCAGGTAAGATACTCTTCCTGTAAACAGGTGCTGTACAACTAGAATTTTAGTCAGGCACTTTTACATGAGGGATTTTCAGTTTCATCTCCAGCTTATAGGTCTGACTCACCACCTACCTTCTGCTTTTAGAGTGGCAGGGTATATCATGCTTGAGACTGTTTTCTTCAATTTGCAAGGTATGGTTGAAGGATCCATCTAACTCTTGCACTGTCACTTTAAGTGGTCCCTTTAAAAAACCAACAGCAACAACATACCATTAAGTATAATGATGTTTATGTTTTAATAAATAAAGCTTGCCTAAAAGCCAGAAGGGTAAAGCTAAGCCACTAGAAGTCAGGTAGTGGTGGCACACACCTTCAATCTCTGGATTTGGGAGACAGAGGCAGGTGGATCTCTATGAGTTCAAGGCCTCCCAGGGCTACACAAGATCAGATCAATGCAAAAACAAATCCAGATGGTAGTTGGAGTCTCACCTTTAATGCCAGCACCAAAGGGAATATAAAATGGGAGAGAGACAGTCTGTTTAGTTGCGGTCGCCCAGCCTTGGTAGAGGTAAGACTTCACCAGTGGCTGGCTGCTTTGCTTCTCTCGTTTTCGGGTTGAACCCCAATATCTGTCTCAGGGTTTTTATTATTCGTGCTACAGTTAAAACTGCTAGAAAATGGCCAATGCACATCCTTACACTTAAAGGCAAGCAAGTCACGATATAAAATTCTGCTCTATGAAGTACATAGTGACGGAGAGGGACGGCAGTTGGTGCCAAGGACGGGAAGCTGAGGATTGTGCTCTGAAATCTCTGCAGCCTCGTCCCTTCAAGGACTCACTGCAAATTCATCATTCACCCCAGCCTGAAAGCCCTTCCTCTATTGGAACCGCAATCAACGGGCACCACACTCTTCTAGGAAAACACTTACCACGTACTTCTGAGTTCCAGGAGATGTGTAATCTTGTTTTATTTCTAGTTCTAAAACGTTTCGCTTTCTATTAAATGCAAAACTTCCGTAAAATTTTACTACTCCACTCTGGTCTCTGAAGAATTGTAAAGGAATTTTTACATACTAAAAAGAAAATTTTTTTTTTAAAAAAAGCTTATTATATTAACAATTTTCAAATGCATTCCCACTAGATCAAAGTACACTTCATTATATCCCAGGTGGCAAACTATTCAAAATTCTTGTGAAAAATGTTTCCCAGATTAAATAAAATTTCTGAAACATTGACAAGCCCGTGTTTTTAAAGTAATGCCACTCCATGGGATTATTAATAGTACCTTGAAGTGAAAAATGCAAAAATTGTCAAGTTCCAAGATACCATTCAAGTTGAGCCAAGCTCCAAGCACATGTAAAAGTCGCCAGACCATTTCATCTTACAAGTACTGCTATAGGCTGCCTGCTAGAGTACTTACCGAATCACCATGCAACCTACCTCTCCGTTCAGATGGAATAGCACAAACTAAGCCAAATTTTATAAATATAAACATCCATGTTTATATATGAATCCAACTCAGTTTTGGGAAGGAACTTTCATAGGCCAGCGATTTCTAATTTTAAGAAATAGCAATGGATCACCTCCCTCTTTTCCATCTTTCACACAGCGCATTCCCTTCCCTGCTTTGCTGAGCCCCTACTAAAAAGGATACACCCACTGCTTTATTAAGGGCTGGATGTCTTTGCCAGAGACGTTGGAAATTGATTTCAAAAATCCATAGGTGGAAACCAGCATCTGGCTCCACATGTGTGACTGGAACTTCTGAGACGAAGCAGTGCTAGCCAGACTTAGTAGTTTATTGAAAACCTGCAAGGACAGAAGGCCACATAGTACATTTTCCAACTGGATACTGCACCTGGTCTGCACTGGATCTCTGTGGGATCATTTACAAAAAAAAGCAATTATGTAACATGCATATATTTTTTGAGTTAAATACTAAAAGCAAAAGAAACATACAAATATTTAAACAGGACATAAGAATACTGTTCATAGAAACATTACTGAATGCTAAATATTGGCACACAAAATCTAATTTATTAAGAATTAGAAGCACAATATATAATACCTGTCAAATTTTATAAAGGAATTCAAAACTAGGAATATTCATTAGGAGCCTAGTACTCTTATGGTAGGCATGTCATAAGTCATCTTGTGTATTATTCTGTTTTAAAAAACCAGAATATAGCCAGGCAGTGGTGGCACATACCTTTAATCATAGTACTCAAGAGGCAGAGGCAGGTGGGTGTCTGTGAGTTCGAGGCCAACCTGATCTACAGAGTGAGTTCCAGGACAGCCAGAATGTTTCACAGAGAAACCCTGTTTTGAGGAAAATAATAAATAAATAAATAAAATAATTAAATTTAAAAAAAAAAAAGGAATGTGGAAGAGGAGTGGAGCTATGGCTCAGTGGGATGGCATTTTCCTAGCAAATGTGAGGGTATCACAGTACAAAGGGAAATTCATAAATGAGAATACTAATTAATATCTACATTCTAAAAAGTATAAATGCCCTTTTTTATGGCACACTTTTCTCCAACCTTTGGAGAAAATGTTTGTTTCCATTTTTATGATACCGGGAGTTAAACCCAGGGCTCCATTCACATGAAGCAGGCACTCCACTGTACTACATTCTCAGCAAAAATGATTTCTTAAAAGTTTTTCTTTTAAGCCTGCCTTTAAGAATTTTATCAATCGGGGAAAGTTGGCTGTTATTATTTAATGCATCTATCTGTTTGAGAATGTACCTCAGTGGGACCTATTGGCCTAGTATGTGCAAAACCATGTATTTGATCCTCAGTATTTCAGAGAAAAAAAGAAAATTAAAGAAAAAGTAAAAAGAAGAATGGAATGGGGAATGAGAGAAAAGGAGGAAAAAACCAAAAGCACATATATTTACACAAGTGATCTGCTATCTTGTCTCTACTATTTCATCTCCTATATTGTAACCACTTGTACTAAAACTTTAAAACATGGCAAAACCTAACTATACCAACAAAGTAACTAGTTGTGGAATCTTTAATAGCTAAGGTTAGGTATGTGGCCTTCAGAGGCCACTGCAGGAAGCTAAAAATGTGAAACCTGACTTGTGCTTGAGACCCCCAAAATTTGTAGATGCTAGAGCCATGGACATCTGCCAAGGAGAGCTACAAACAGGGACAGAAGTGTGCTGCAGGCAGCAAAGCAGGAAGGGCGGAGCCACCTAAACCCCTTACATTCCTCCTTTGCGGAATGGGAATGTCTATTACATACTATTATCTGTTAGAATTATGCAATTCTATGTGACAGGGTTTCTCTGTGTAGCTGTGGCTGTCCTAGAAATTTGCTCTTTGGCCAGGTTTGCCTCAGAGATCCCCCTGCCTCTGCCCCCAAAATGCTGGAATTAAAGGCATGTGTCACCACTGTCCAGTGTAGTTTGCTTTTGATTTTACAGAGAATTATAATGAAGAGAGTGCCTGGAGTCTCTGAAGAAATCTGGACTTTGAAACAGTGTCTTGACTATGAGAGACTGTGGGGACTTCTGAAGTTGGACTAGATGTACTTTGCATGATGATATGGCCACAAAACTATGAGAGACAAGGAGAAAAATGTGGTGATTTAAATGAAATGTCCTCCACGAGTCTCGGGCACCTGAATACTTGGTCACTAGTTGGTAGCTGTCTGAAGACTAGGAAATTTGGCGTTTCTGGAGGAGGTGTGTCATGTGAGCAGGCTTTAAGAGTTCAAAGTCTCCGCTCTCGGTGTGCTCTCTACCTCCTGTTTTTAGATGAAAACATGAGTCTTCACTGCTGTTCCAGTTGCTTGTCCCCTTGTCTTCACTCCAGCGCCACAGACTCTAATCCCCTGGAACTTTAAACTCAAATGCTTTTTTAATAAGTTGCCTTGGTCACCAGGTGGCAGCACACACGCCTTTAATTGCAGCACTTGGAAGGCAAAGGCAGGTGGGTCTCTGAGTTCAAGAACGGCCAGGACTACACAGAGAAACCTTATCTCAAAATTTAAGTAATAAATAAATAAGTTGCCTTAGTCATGGTGTTTTATCTCAGCAATAGACCAGTAACTAACAGATGCACGCACACAGATACTGCTTTAATGTTAGGACTTACTTGGAGCATAAACTCCATGCTGATTCTGTTTTCAATCAGTCTCATCACGAGGTGGGCTTTGCACTGAAACATAGTGTAGTATTCCCAGGACAGGGTATGTGGATGCTTTATTGAAAAATGAAGGTGGGAAGCTGGGCTGGAAAAAAACATAAATTTACTCAATATAACAAATCTGAGTACTAAAGAAAACAAATAAGTTTACATTTAACATAAACAATTTAAGCTGTTCAAAATTTTCCATTATTCCAAAATGCTACAGTAAATTTTTATGCAAATATTTTTTCACACCAAATATCTACAAGCAGAATTTTTTATGATCCTATACACAGAGCAGAATTGCTATCATCTTAACACAACCCACTCTGAAACTGATGGGCTCTAACTAATTACCTTTCAAAGATGTGTCAAATTATATCTCACAATCAATGTCTGTGTGGTGTTCCCTCCAAAAAACTTCACTCATATACATAAATTGAAATAATAACTTTTAAAAAAGAAAAATCCAAGGGCAAGGCTGTAGAGCAGCTCAGCTGGTAATGCTTTTGAGAATCCTTGGGTCTGACACTGAGTACCAACAATATATTTGAGAAGTATGTGGATTTATGACTTTCTTTGCTCTGTTAACAAAACTGCTGCCACACAGGAATTTGGGGTTCGGGGAAACCTGCATCCACTTGTGTCCATCGGCCACACTCATCCTTACCTGGCAATGGAATAAACTGTCTCTTTTATTCCCTTTTGAGGTCAGAGATGTGTTTCTGTGTCAACACCCTTAGGATACAACGGCTGAGCAAACATTCTTATTCCTTCGCAGAGGCACAGGAGAACAGGACAGGACCAAAGTAAACCAGAGCACAGCAGAGCAAAGCTTAAGACACTAGAGTTCCGCGTCCAGCATCGAGGACTTATTGTAGGATCCAGGTACGGATCCCAAGGTTCTGCTGCTCCCTGGCACTTGCTACCTCACTTTGATAGCACATGGCCTCCATCTGGGCTGTTTTAGCTGCTTGAAGCTGTTCCTTGCAGGTTCTCACAACTCCAGCTTCCTGGAGTACTGGCTCCGTCTCTGGCTCCATTCTCATATCTTCATGCACTGCCATCTCAGAGGCTACCCAAGTGATCCTGACCTCAGCCTCCCAGGTCTTCCACCGAAATCTGGGTTCAGGCCTCTATAACCTCGTAACCTGTGTTCCATGTACTACAAAGCCATCACCCAGCTGATATCAAGGTCTGCTACCTGCTCAACCAGCAGTCAGACCTTCCTGGATGTCACCTGTACGGCCTGTCAGTAACCCTATGGCTGAACTCAGGAAATCACGTCCCTGGAAAGCCAGACATTCTGGGAGCTCAGGGAGCTCCAGAGCTTTCTTCTCATCTTTTTCCTTACACCATGACAGGTGAGGTTTAGGCAGTTCCTGAGATGGCCTCAAGGGGCCTTGTCTATTGTCCCAGTGCAAACTACTTTGCTTCTTCTAATCATCTTAATCTCTTCAGCTGTCAGCTCCCATGGCCCTGGGTTTATGTGTTTCCTTTCTGGGCACACAAAGTTTCCTGCTCACAATTTTCACAGTAAATCTGTCTAAAAGCAGCCAACAAAATCTACACAAAAGTGACCTTGAAATCTCAGGGTTCACAAACATTGACCTGTTCTTTGCTGTCATTTGGCATACATGACCTCTAGCCCAGCTCCTCATAGAGTTCTTAGTCCTAGCATAAAGTTCTCACATTGGCCTTTACTGTCCATATTTCTCTTGGCATTTGGTCTTCTGAGCTCCAAACAGAATTGTCCACTAAACAGAAAGCAGTCTTAGGGATACCAAAACCCATGCCTCCAAACTGTTCCAAATTTCCTTTCAAAACTCAGCTACAAAGGCTTAAGAACCACAGTTAGTTTAGAGAGAGTACAAACTTCCTGTGCTAATAAACTTCTTGTCTGTAACAAAAACCTGAACAAAACGGCTGAAAAGTAAAAGGATTTACTGCAGCACAGATTTAAAACACTTGGTGGGAAGGACACGATGGAGCACAGCTACTGTCTCTTGGAAACCAGGAAGCAGAGAGAAAAGGCTTGCAGGGTTCATCCACTGTCCCTTTCATTTCATCTGGGTATGGACCTCCTAAGGCTACAGGATAGTGCACCCACGTTAAAGTAGCTTCTTGTCTGCTTAATCCTCCCTGGAAACAGCCTCACACACACTTAGAAGTGTGCTTTACTAACAATCTTCTGGGCATTTCTCAACTGAATCAGGTTGACAATTAAGATTAACCATCAAATTAAGCAAAATAACTATTTTGACAGATTTTAAGTTTTAACAAGAGTAGTATGATGAAGTTGAATTAGAAAAGTTAGCATGCTAAATTCACCTGCAGTCATCTCATATGACGCAACAGTAATGAGGGGCCCTGACCATACGACCAGTCTGTGGTATCACACCGTCATTATGGTTCTGGCCTTCCTAGGCCTCAAGAAACACACAAGTGATCGTAAGAGGTAGCCTACAAAACGAGGTTTATAATATCATCTCAGAACAAAAACATACTTATCCTTTTCTTTCCCACCACCAAATATGGGATGTAGTAAAACTCCTCCAGTTTTCAGTTCATATGCTACTATTTTATCCAGCTCCTAAAAAAGATAAAAATTAAGTCAGTGAAAACTTCTTCACCCAACAACGTTTAGTACTAGAGCACAAATTTCCTTTTGTGGAATCAGATGTAAATATAATAGAAGCAAACTATAGCTGGAGACTACTTCTTTTTTTTTTTTTTTTTTTTGGTTTTTCGAGACAGGGTTTCTCTGTGGTTTTGGAGCCTGTCCTGGAACTAGCTCTGTAGACCAGGCTGGTCTCGAACTCACAGAGATCCGCCTGCCTCTGCCTCTGGAGTGCTGGGATTAAAGGCGTGCGCCACCACCGCCCGGCTTGGAGACTACTTCTTGTTTTTACAAATAGAGCAAGCTACTCAAGCTAGCTGGATAGTAAGATCCAAAAATTTCTCTGTATTTTGTGACTTCAGGGCTCAATAGCAGGTCAGCAACTTTTCCTTACAGCTCTTCTGCTCCTCTGAATTGTCTTCTAATCTGACTTAGTCCCTCTCAGTATTCTGAATCTGAGGACTAAAGCAGTTAAGAAGTGAGACTGAATAATGTTGGTAATCTATCAATTTAAAACTCCTCTGCTCTTTTCTAACATATAATACCTATTTAAAAAAAAATAAGAAAAAAAAAAAGCTTGAAAAAGACAACATCATAACTATGCTGGATATCTGTGAATGGTTTAAATAATATAGACAGCAAAGAAGTGGTAAGCGGCATCCTAAGATGATTAGAAGCCACTGGATCCTGGCAGTACAGCCGATTAGCCATGCACTTTACTAAATAATTTAACCTCTGTGTCTCAGTTTCCTCACACGTAAAGTGTGGAGAGTAAGAGAATCAAGAGTAAGAGAATAGTACTTTTATCCAAGTACTATTTTTATTATAATACTATCTTATTATGCACTGTTAAGTGATGTTATTCCTTCCACATGAAGAATGGGGCTCCCAGTGCTAAGTGTGTCATCTCTCCAACAAGTTTTTGAATAGAACATTAATTTAATGAGGATATTAATTAATTAATTAATGAGGATATTAAAGTGGGGATTTTTCTACCTAAAAATAATGAATTTAACGATCTAATCAAATCTAATGAAACCAATGAAGTATCTATGTACTTAAGAAAAGATATATAAACACTCTTTTCATTTTTCCTTCATCTTTTAATACCAGGAAGCTATGTGGTGATGACAGAGCATATGAAGGTGGGTACTGAAGACTGAACCACTCACACTGCAGGAGTCATGAGCCTCTACCCCGAGTGGAGCAGGCACTGCCTCTATACCATCCTTACTCAGTTAGGACTTGGAAACAAATGTAGGAAGCAGTTATAATCTTTTTTTTGTTAATTTAATTTTATTTGAAAAGCACTATTTTTCAAATGACATTTAGAAGCATTTTACAATCACTGGAGGACAAGAGGGCTGGCAAGAAGGCCCAGTGGGTAAAAGAGTTTGCAAAAAACCTGAGCACCTGAGCTTGAGCCCAGGACTCACAGCGAAAGGAGAGAAACAATTCTAGTAAATATCTTCTGACCACACATGCACCCAACACACAAAATAAATAAATAGAAAATAAAGGACAGGAGACTAGGAAATCAGGAAAACACTCACAGACATTACTGACTTACAAGTGGCAAACAAATCTAGCTCTTGTTTACCTCTTTAATCCAATGGCGATATTCGTTAACACCGAAAGTTTTTTTCATCCAGAGTCCATAAATATAGCCTGAAATTCCTTTCAAAACCCATTCATCAGACCTAAGGAAAAGTCAAAAAAAATTGAATCATTAAACCTGTTAAAGCAAGGTCAAAGAAAGTAATGGAATAAGTGGCCATCCAACCTTCTTCATATCTGTCTGTCTCTTTAAGTTTAAGACTGCTTAGAATCAAACGCTTACTTATTACACAGCCTGACACACTAAAAGGGCACCTGTCTTCTTCGGAACTCAAGAATGGGCTCTACTAGTACTAAGTGTATGAATCCCTTAACCAGATGTTTTCTGGACAGTTTGTGTCTGTAGGGCTGGAACAGTGTAGCTCAGTAGTAGCGATTTCCCAGCAGTCTTGCAGTTCTGGGTTTGATCTTTAGTACAGAAGAAAATCAAAAGCCCAGTGCTTTACCGTCTCCTCTAAAGTTGAATTTAGCAAAGTCCCTCTGTTAGTGGGACTTTCTCTCGACCACTGTTCAAAATGTCTGCCACTAAAGAAGTCCTCGTCCAAAGTCAGGACTGCTTAAGTCTAAAGTTCATATTGCTAGGTGTGAGAGCACATTCTCCACACTTGGAGGTTGAGGCAGAATGGTCAAGAGTTCAAGGATACCATCAGGTACAAAGTTGAGTTCTCAAAAGATCAAAACAAAATCCAAATTCTTGGACTGAGACTATGTGACAGAGTACTTACCTAGCATGTACAACGCCCTGAATTTAAATTCTCATACAGGAAACTCCAATCCTATGTTGTTTTTTGGGGTGGGAGGGTTGGTTTCGAGACAGGGTTCCTCTGCAGCTTTGGAGTCTGTCCTGGAACTAACTCTTGTAGACCAGGCTGGCCTCAAATTCACAAAGATTCGCCTGCCTCTGCTTCCCGAGTGCTGGGATTTAAAGGCATGTGCCACCACCACCCGGCTAATCTTACTACATTCTTTATTGTAACACATAGACATAATTTTTACCACCCAGGTTTTACAATATCCTTAAACTGTTTAATGTTTGTACTCTCTCTAGAGAAAAGGCAGTTGGCCCCAACCACTCATCTGCTCACATATATCCATCAACCACATACAACAGTAACATTATATTTGTAAAAACTAAGACAGAAGTGGAATCCTACACTATTAAAACACAAAAGAAATTAGATGGCGACTTCTACCTGTAATCCTAGCACTCAGAAGGCAGAGTCTGAGGCCAACCTGGTCTACATTCTAAGTTCTAAGCCAATGAGAGCCTCGGTGCTAAGAATTCTCCCCCTCCCCCCCCAAAAAATACAAAATTCATCTCAAGATGAAGAAAAGAAAGATTATCTTGTTTTTTTTCAGTGTTGGGGCTCAAACTGAGGGTCCAGCACTACAGAGAGCCCTGCACCTCTGGGCTGTACCCAAGCTACAAAAGTGTTTCTCCTTCCCCTCTTTCAAGAAAACTAGCAAAAATCTAAAAACTAAAAGGCAAATTCTCTACACCATTATCACTACTGTTGAAGATAATTACTTTGCTTTAAAAGTCATCTCAAACATATTTTCCAACTGAGCTGAACACTGACATTTGAATTCTAATTAGTTTTCTATACATTCAAATCAGCATTTTATACATCTATTATTTTTCAGAATTCTTATTTTATGGTAAATTATGTAAGCAACTCTACTGCTTTGTTTTTTTCTTTTTTGAAACACGGTCTTAGCACATAGTGGGTGCTTGTCTGAACTTGCTTCATAGATCAGACTGGCCTCAAACACACAAAGATCCACCTGCCTGTTGAGTGCTCAAGTTAAAAGCATGTGACATCATGCCCCACTAATAATGAAGTCTGATTCATAAAGCTGATTTTAAATAGGTAAGATAAAATTTTACTAATTGTTTTCTTTTTTGAGACAATCTCTCAAAATAACTCCCCATTTGTAGATTATGGGCAATAGCCAGTTTACAACACAGGAGAAGAAGGAACGTCGAGTGAAGCTCAGCTGCACATACCCATCGATCCCTTCAAAGGTAGAGGCAGGGGCATCACTGTCAGTTCAAGGCCAGACTCAGCTACATAGTAAGTTTGGGGGTAAGATGGACCACACGAACGTCTGTCAGAGAACAAGAGGGGAGAGGAGGGAGGCCAGCTTTCCTGACCCTCAGCTGAGCCTGCAGTTCTGACACACTCACCAGGACATCCTGGATATGAAGCAACCGAAGAACTGCTGTGCTAAGGACTGCGCTAGGCACCGTCTGGTCAGTGGGGTCTCGTCGATAATCATGGCGCTGTGCAGAAGGTTTGTGCTGGAAGCCAAGGACACAGAAGGGGTTTAGAGCCAAGGGATACACAGTCAGTCAGTCAAAATACAGCACCTGTGCTCCTAAAGCAATTTAATTTTAGGTTCAAGCTCAAAAAAAAAAGAAAAAGGAAAAAGGCAAGAATATTCACCTGAGAGTTTTTCTATCTTTTCAGAGTTTATCTGAAATTCACAATCTGTCTAAAGCAAGGAACACAATGACAATGTTTTCTATTGATTTTACAAAAAATATAATTCACTATTTTGGGGAGTGAAGAAGAAACTAGTGTGTTAATCAGATATGAATACAAATAAAATGGGGTTACTTAATTTCAAAAATCCTTGCACAGGCTGGATGTAGAGGCACATTCCAGTGAACCAGCATTCTGTCCAGTGCACAGACAGCCTGAACACATAGTGTGGAGATACCTCTCCCCAAACCAGGAAACCAATAACAAAAATGAAACCCTTCTTCTAGTGTCTAGTAAATTTTGGACCTCTGTTGTTTACTTCTAAGTACATTGCTCCATTCAATTTTTCCAACTGTGTTCTGGAGAATACATAGGACTGACTAGTATCTCATATGACAATGAGAACTTTTAGGGACAGGAAAGTAAAACAACTTCCCTGACACATAAAACTTACAAAATTTGAACCCCGCATCCTCCCCTCAAAAAGGGGGGGGGGCAGAAAAGAAGGGCTAAAACAAAGAAAAAATCTGTTTTGTTTTTTTAACAAAAAACTGAGGATGCCAGTACATTTGTACAGTGCTACCAAAAAGACACACTAATGATGCATAAATGTGTAAGCTAAAATTTATAAACATTCAGAAGTAAGCCAGGAATGGAAATGTGAATGATCATTCTGCAGGCAGGCACTGGGATATACCACTTCCTTATGGAGGAAGCTACATTGTAACATTTTCTCCTGGTTACCTACAAACTTGGTCACACCAGAAGTTCAAAAACCCAGTTACCTACAAACTCAGTCACACCAGAAGTTCAAAGCCAATCTGAAAACTGATCATACAGTCAATAGGTTTTTTTTTTTTAATCACTACCCTAATTCAGGTAGTCCCCACCTGAAGAGACACTAACCTAAAAATACTCATAGAAGCGTAAGCGGCCACTTCAACGTAAGCCTCATCAATGAAGACAGTCTTAAAACAGGAGTACGGATAGCGACAAGTCAAAATTTCTTCATAAAATTCAAAAACTTCATGAAGGTACGACGTGGTATGTTTAAGCAATGGAAGAAGTTGGGGTAAACAAAAATGCGTAACCTGAAAATAAAAGGACAATCATCTCAAAAAAGGACATAGTTAGTTTTTAATACATTTCATAATGTTGAAAATAGCTGTTGCAAAATTATTCAGCTTTTCAGGTCAGGTTTATAAAATGTTCATTGTACTAAAAATTAGATTTAAAATGGATTATAAAGTTTATTAAAAGCTTAAACATAATGAGAATAAAACTGGTTACAAACAAGAAAAATTAAAATTTAAGGCTTAGTATAATCTCTTATTCATGTGTCTAAACTTAGGAAATACTGCATATTTTATATTAATACTTTAGTAAGTGTGTGTGTGTGTAAAATGTTGAAGATTGAACCCAATACTTTCCACATGCCTGGCAAGTATCACCAAATCTCAGTGCCTGAATCTAAGAATTAATCATCTGTTGCCGCCTGGTGTGGTGGCTCATAACAGTAATTCTAACTCTTGTGAGGCTGAAGCCAGTCTGGGCTACACATGAGGCCTAGTAGAAAGGAGTTCATGCTCATCAGAACTGCCTGCATCCCAGGATCAGCCACTCCAGCCACGCTAGTCCTCCAGTGTGCCAGCCACACACTGCACACCGGGGAGACACACTGGCAGTAAGATATCCACAGCAGAAATAACAGTCATGCTTTTCATATTCGCTAAATACAAAACCATTATCATAGACTGTCTCATGAAACAATTCTATGCCAAATGAATGAAGACGCCAGGAATAGTGGCACAAATCTGTAATCCCAGCTCTAGAGAGTGTCTGTCCACATTCCAAGAATGGAGGTGTGTGAGGAGAATACTGAGTGCTTGTGAGAAAACCTCAAGAAGCCAAGGCAAGAGTCTTATGATCTCACTGTTCTTGGAATGTGTTTCCGTGCCCCTGCACAGTGCAGCAGACAGGAGTTTCCTTCAGATCACTCTTTACAGCTGCTACTGCTGTCTCTGTCTCTACGGAAAAATGTGCTGTGCCCTGTGCGGCCACACGCAGCTTGTCCTTGCGCATGTACACTTTACTCACATGACTCTACTTAACCAGGGTATAAACTGTCTGGTGCTCTGAATAAAGTTGGTTGTTATGTGAGACTAGTCAGCTTCATTCATCAGCTCTGTTCTCCCAGGTTCCATCACCTCCAGAAGAGTAAACAGAGCATCGCAAGTTTAAGCCAGCCAGAGCTAGCTACATAGTGAGATTGTCTCAAAACAAACAAAAACCCAGGAAGGTTTCATCTAGAAGATGGTGTCGTGCCGAGTGGTGGTGGCGCACGCCTTTAATCCCAGCACTCGGGAGGCAGAGGCAGGCGGATCTCTGTGAGTTCGAGGCGAGCCTGGTCTACAGAGCTAGTTCCAGGACAGGATCCAAAGCTACAGTGAAACCCTGTCTCGAAAAACCAAAATAAATAAGTAAATAAATAAAATAAAATAAAAATGTGGTATCATAGACAATTATTTCATGGTAGACAAAGTTTGACAGATGAAAGTCAGATGTTGTGGTGCATACCTCAGTACTCAGGAAGTTGAAGCAGGAAGATATTATCATGAGTTTGAGGAAAACCTTGACTATGTAGTAAGACTGTCTCAGAAAAACAAACAAACAATAAAACAAACCTCAAACAAAACAAAACAAAAAAAACCTAAAATAGTCTGAAAGGTCAAGATTAAAAAAGTAGACACCCCAAATAGAGTCAACACTATTTGATTAGTGCCTTCTTTTCATGAGTGAAAGTGCAGAGAAGAAGACATGTGAAATGCCTTACCTCATGCATATATGGATCTACGAGGATTTCAAAAGGCCCAATGGCCAAGGAGATATTGGATGCTGCTGTCGGAATAGTAAGCATATAGTGGAAGGTCTTCTTCCTCATATCATGGGTGTATACCGTCTCCACCAAATCCCCATTGGACACGGCGACCATTGCAGCGTCTACTGTAAATTCTAACTTCCATGTGCACAGCTCAGAGTATGAATCAACACATGGGAACCAAAATCTACAAACACATTAACAGTACAGAAGATACTTTACACTTAGAATCTCAGGTCAGGTCTTACTATATGATAGAATCAGTATAAGATACCAAAATACAAATAACTCTAAAACACAATCTTTGACTTAAAAGAATTATTCATCTGAGAAAAGCGCTTCAGTAACATGTAGTGAACTACAGGCCAAGAGAATGAATGGATCATGATTTCATATAAAGATGTAGGTAAACCTATTATCATTAAACAACAAAAAAGCTAGCTATAAAGAACAAAAAGCACGAATGAGTCCATTTACATAAAGTTCAAAAGCAAGCACAACCAACGGTATTTCAGAAACACAGTAACTAAACAGAATGCCAAGTGGGAATGCTGAATGGAAGCAGAGGAAACTCCGCCAAGTGCTGATGCTGTTTGTGTTGATCTGAGTGTGAGCCCAATAGGTTTGTTCGTTGGTGAAAAGTGATGTTTTTGCATTTAAATGTATACAGTTTTCTGCATGTATGCTGAACTTCACTATACGGTTAAAGAATCAAGCTGACAGATTATTTCAGGATTATTCCCTAAAGGAAAAGATGATGAAAGAAATAATAAGACTGAGGAAGAATAATCAGTACAGCATGATTCAGAGGCAATTTGGGGGGAATCAAACTTACACTTGTCACTCTAAATGAATAAACACACAGTATATTCAATACATAAAAGTACAGTTACAAAAAATAAAGTTAATTAAAATATATGAATTTATAATCTACCTTGTAGAATTTTGATACCCACAAGAGAAGACATGAGCACCTCTCTCTGCCATACTGCCCTCTACACTGGGTACCACAAAATGAAGACCTCCTTTTGGCTGATCCAAAGAGAAGTTAATATGTATCTTCAGAACCTTTAACTCTGCAACAAATAAATACATACATTCACTGACATGCAAATAAGCTATGGTAGCCTACACAGTGAAGCTACTACAGTGAGAACCACAGTCTGAGCATTCTATTAAGAATCTAGGAGCTGCTTGGGATGTAGCTCCACTGGTGGGACACTTGCACAGATGCTAGAGGCCTGGGGTCAAATCCCACTACATAAAAACAAAGAAGCCACAGCACTTGCTACAGTGCAAGCTTTTAGTGTTTCCACTTACACTGGCTGACAGTGTGCCTCCAATCAATCTGACTAACTGCCGCTTGAGGTTTCTAACAGAGCACAACACCAGGCGTATCATATTCTCTTCTCAACATTTTTGACATGCAATGTTTTCAGAAAAAAATTCACAACCCCTAATGTGGATGCTTTAAAGCCTTTCAAATCCAACTGCAATTCTACTTCTCAAGATTTCCCCCTTTTGTATTTTCTCCCAAACTGCTAACTGTATTTTTGGCTTTGGAGGGTAAATGGCAGAGGGTAGATGGAGGGTACTGATTACTCATGAAACTGCATCATCTATATGTTTCCAAATTACATTTTATTTCTGTGTAGTAAAAAAGCCTTGTTAGCATTAGGCTAAAAGTAAATTTAATTCCCCACTGTGATTATGCAATCAGCTTCTACATGAGCCCTACATGGAGTAATCCCACTATTTTCTCACCTGCTCCCAAGCACAATGAAAACAAAGTGCTTTTTTTCTTCTTTCCTTGACTTTTGAGACTAAATAAAGGTAGAAAGAAGTTTTCAGACAATAATCACAATGGCTAAATTTTAAAGGAACGAAAATGAAACTTTAAAGGGGACAAACTTAAGAGTACACAGGACATGTGGCAAGAGCCCGAGTCCCAGCTTCTGCTCATCCACAGATTAGCTCAGTGAACTTATGTTGTGGGAGCTAAGAATGCTTTTCAGTAATAAGAAGAAATTGAACCAGCAGATTTTTAGAACCACTAGAGCTGCAAAAATGATACATTCCAAATAGATCTCACACATGCTCTACCCATACGATTTCTAAAGTACTTTTCATTAAAAAACAAAAGAAACAAAAAACAATGAAAGGAGCCAGTGGCACAACCTACTAACATGCCTAGCATCTACAAAGCCTGGTTTTCCAGCACTATAGGAAACAGAGACCAGCTATTTTTGTAAGAGCCTGTACTTAACACATTCCTATCAATCCATGACCCTAAAGGAGGAGACACTTTTCTAACCCCTTTTGTGCATTTCCAGCAGTAGTTAGTTTACAATTTAGGCATCACTAACTCTCTGGCCTCTACACCTAATAGGCTTCACTTCGCTGTGCAGTAATACATTCCTGGTGCTTTACCATCAACATGCTTCCAGAGCTCTGATGGAACCTTAATGCAGAGCTCTCCATTCCCCGCATCAGGATCCACAGCACTAACCGCAGCTGCATACGCATTGGAAAAATAGTTGAGATTTCTCCTGGGGAGAGAAAAAGCCAACTTGTAATAAGAATAAGCCACACAGTTCACCAACATCTTTCTAAATATCAAAGGACATCTATTATTTCTAAGTACTATGTCTTCTTACACAATTCGCTAAGAATTCTTTTTAAGCTAACTACTACTAACGCTGTTCCCCATGTTAAGAACTAATAATGTGATGAACACAGTGGAGCATCCCTTTGACCCCAGCGCACTGGAGGCAGAGGCAGGAGGATTCTGTGAAGGTCAAGGACAGCCTGTGCTCACAACAAAAAGGAAGGGAGGGGTGGGGGGGAGAAAAGGGAGACAGGAGAAAGGGAGGGAGAAGAAAAAAGAGAAAAACAAAAAATCCAACAGCCAAAAAGAACCATTAAAGTGATCATTGTGTTCACATCCTTCATGAACTCTGGACTGCCAAAATCACTACTTTTCTAATGTCAGTTTTTCTAATATAAACGTAAAGACTGCACAGGGTATGTACCTGCATGCATGTGTATACAGACATTTACATATATCAAAGACCAATATTTCAAAATACTGATATATTTAAAGCATTTTATAATTTATTATGAATATTTTATTTTTATAAAAAATTTAATTTTTATAAAAAAATTTCATAAAAATTATAAAAATTAAAGTAATTTTCATATAAGTAAAATAGTTTCTTTGGAATAACTGAGGTTTCTGTGCTCTGAGCCTACACAAACTACAGTGTTGCCAGGCACACAGGAGTATTAGCTAGGGCACAGCTGGAGCTGCTTCAGCACTAGGTAGGTAAGAAGGTCAGAAGTTCCGAGTCACCCTTAGCTACAAAGTGAGTCTGAAGCCATCTAGGGCTACATAAGATCCTTTTCACCAAAATATATAAACAAACATCTTCCTCTGCTATGAGAACCAGGAATACCAGAAGCAAGTCCTCTAAAGAACTGGACAGTAACTAAGTAACAATGTATAAAATGCATCTCTTTACCCTCTGCACCAACTAATCAGCTACTTTTAGAGCCTTTTCTCTCTAAAGCCAACTGTAATCCCATTTTGAACAAATCAGAGAATAAAGACAAGGAAAAACAACAACAAATACAGGCTATCTGTGAAGGCTTAAGGCTATAATTCTAGTAGTTGAGAGATTGAGACTGGGAATTACCTCAAATTCAAGGCCAGCCTAGTCAACACAGTGAGTTCCAGAGCAGCCTGGGATATACTAAGTATATTCTGTATCTACCAACTGCCCAAAGGTCGAAAAGATTTTCCATTATAACTCCTTTCCTCACACTGAAAGGGATGATTCCTTGTCCACCGGAGAAAACATTAAAGTTATCTTATTACTTTAGGCTGCACATATGCTAAAAGATGAGGTTAACTTCAAATACAGAGCAAAGTGAAGCTGTCTTCCTTAACAGACGAGGATGCCCACAGCTTCTGTGGTACACTATCCCAGATCCTAGGCCATTCTCTTTTGAGTGCTGGGTACTCCCAACAAATTATTGGCTAAAAACAGATGTATTCTGTGATTAGCCTCTTACTCCATCTTGAATGCAGAATTCAAGGCTGAACAGGGTAGGTACTCTATCCTCTGGCAGACAGTGGGTTTTTACAGGCCTGTCTTCCATTCACTAGTGATTATATAGTTGACTACTCTGAGCAGATTTTATTTTCTTCAGCAGAACAGGATCTGCATATAGTTTTGTAATGAGTCTTTTTCTGTCAGTATAAGCACTGTGATTTTTAGCAACTCACCTTCATGGAAAGGAAACTTAAAGGAATTATTCAGAGGTCCCTGGATTTTTCCAACACCATTTTTCTATCTCCTTCCTGAGCTTGAAAGATTCTAAACCAATGATTGTTGGCATCACAATTGTGTCTAAGGATAAGACCCAGGTCCCCAAGTCTTCTAACCCCTGGCTGAAGTATTCTCAAGTTTTAGACCTTATCAGAATTACCCAGAAGCTTTGCTAAGCACAACTTGAAGAACTCTATGCTGTCTGACTCAGTGTGTTTGGGCAATACCTGAGATTTGACAGATCTTAAAAGTTCATAGGTGATGGTGTACTGCTTTTCTGAGAATACACTTTGAGAACTGCTGTTTTAAGGCCAGTTAAAATACAATCTTGACTAAAAATTTAAAGCTGAGTTTGGCATCCCACTACAGCACATTGAAAAGCACAGAAAGAATATGATCTAGGACTACCAAGACTTTTCAAAAATGCTCTCAAATTCAGCTGACAGTAGATACAGCATCTCCTAAGATACTCTAAAAATAGTACAAACACTTAATAGACTATTTTAAAATGTCTGTGGTCTGAAGATGATGGTGACTATCCAAGTCATTGAAACAATTTTTTGGTATTTATGAAGTAAACACTTACATAACATTAAAACAGAAAACTGGTTAAGACAATTCACCAAAAATAAATGTACTGAAACTTTCCAGATAATACTTCTTTAAAGCTGCAGTATGAGGAAGAGAAATTTAATAACTTACTAAGCTGGGCAAAGTGGGAAAATCCTTAAGACAAATGTTCAGTGCAGTAAAAGCAACAGAAATTATATAACACATAGATCTATTATATATAGTGGAAAATTTGCTGAAAAACATTAACCCGGCAATCACTAAAAACAATTGATAGAATGTCTTAGAAACATAAACTTAAGGTGTACAACTTACTGTTTTGATTCACTGTGACAAACTTCTAAGGTTGGATCATTATAAATAAAAGCAGCCTCCAAGTCATTGATCCTGACTCGGTATATTCTACACTGTTTACTGTTCAATTTGATTCTATTCAAGTTTGCAACTGTAGGAAATATAGTCAACTCCACGAATCCCTGTAAAGATAAAGAACAGCTATTAAAAATGCAGGAAAGTTTACAGCACATTCCCCCACCCCAGCATATTTTTTTAGCTGCCACTTATTTATGCCTCCTCCAAAGATAAAATCCCAAATAGCCACATACACACAATTGCGCCCCAAGAATCTGTTTCAAACATTAATTGTACCAGTAGATGAATGAGTATAATTTATCTAGATTTTCCCACCCTGGTGCTTCCTTCATCTGTGTAACTTGTGATAAGTAAGCCACTGACTAGAAAAGTAAAAATACTCTCTAGTCTGAAACATAAGAAGTTCTAGGCAGACTGTAACCAAAATAGGCTAAAGGAACAGAAACGGTAAAAATGGTCATAACCAAGAGGCTGATGTAAAAGAATCTGATGGCACAAAGAATGTGGGCTTAAAAATCTACACTACTGAAGCCAACAAGTGTGAGTCTCTTGACGGAGATAAATGAGGAGATATATATCTCCAAGTACTGCCAGAGGACGCAAAAGCAGGTAGAAGCAGCAGTACTTCCAAATGCTGACCGATTTTCCTGCCAAGCAGTCCCATGTGCTGTACACTTCTGCCACATTACCTGAGGGACATGCAAGTCATCTAGAGAAACCACCTATAATACAACCAACTGCTAAAGACTCTTACCAACATTCTTCATTGACTCAATGGGAAAGGCTGGTTGAAATATGGACTGCATGGCCAATGCTTTTCATATTCCCGAGTGGAAACTGTTAGGATTACACATGAACTATGGAATGTTTCAGAGGTAGTAAGTATAAAAAGTTCAGAGGTTCCAACAGGAGTGTCTATGAGCAATCAAGCCATCAGCACAGAGGACTGGATCTAATGGCCAGAACTACATGTCAGATGCCACACTACCTTCTGAGGAGTCCTCTAATTCTGATACCAGCTCTGAGGGAAAGAGTGCTACTTGAAACATTTATACTGACGCCCTAAGAAGTATGTACTAGTGGAAAGTATTTTAACTGTTAACTTCTATACATAAACCGAAAGGAAGGAGGGAGGGAGGGAGGGAGGGAGGGAAGGAAGGCAGGAAGGAAGGAAGGAAGGAAGGAAGGAAGGAAGGAAGGAAGGAAGGAAGGAAGGAAGGAAGAAAATGTTAGCTAGATCTAAACCTATCTGTTCCTACTAGTCTATAATGCTCTGGGCACAAGGGATTTAAATAAAGTTCATGAATATTTTCTGTATATCCTTGAGACCAATTCCTCATGCTCCCAGATCTCAAATAAGAGTCGCCACTCTTAAATCAGACCATAAGCATGATCAACGGTTGACATCAGAAAGAGGAAAGGCCAAAATATTGTGAAGAAAGCTTTAAACTTTTTAAAAGTTAAAAGTACAAACTAAACTGGTAATAACACATGCTTCTAGCATTTGGGCTTGAGAAGTGGAGACAGGATGACCAGTTTGAAGCTAGCCTGATCTACCAATCCTATGTTGGAAGAAGAAAATGTATAACCCATGAGCCAGTGTAGCAGGAATCCCAAAATACATAGACTCCCTTCCCTCCATATAGTCTTAGCTGGGCTAGAATTCTCCTTAGAGATCCAGGTGACTTCAAACTCAAAGAGATCTTTCTCCCTCTGCCTCTGCCTTTAGTGTTAGAAATAAAGTTATGTGACACCATTCCTAGTCCAAAATTGTCTTAAATTGCCCTGTCAATCATTAGATGTCCACTCTAAATGAATGAACTTAGATTAAGTGAAAACCAGCAAGCAGAACCAAATGAATCTGGTGCTGGCAGTAGTGGCACACACCTTTAATCCCAGCACTCGGGAAACAGAGGCAGGAGGATCTCTGTGAGTTCAAAGATCAGCCTGATCTACAGTCAGTTTCAGGACATCTAGGGTTGCTCAATGAGACTGTCTCAAAAATAAAAAAAGTAAATTAAAAAAGGCTGATGATAAGATACAAACTAATGCTAATAATATACAAATGAAGGGAGTATATTTCAGAAAAACAGTTCCCTAATATGACATGGTGCCCCAACTTGCATACAACAATCAGACCCATTAATCTTCACGAGCATCGAAACCGGCATCCTTAGCCACTGACACAATTCAAAACCCCAGATCCTCTAACATCTCAAATCAACTCAAATCAACATTAGGGTTTTCTCTACCACTTCACAACTTTTTTGAAAGTTTTTTGATCATTTTGAAAACCCTTTACCTACTGTATTTAAATGAAATGCCTTCTGAATGTCCCAAGTTCCTCAACTTTCTCTCTCTCCTCTGCAGGGCAGCATTAGAGCAGCTCAGAGATCCTACTCTACATATCACCCTCCTCTGTGACTTAATCATTCTTCTCTGTACCATTTTCCAGTGCCCAGAAGTATGTTCAAAATTTACTTATGAATGAGCACAGTCATCAAAATAAATCCCAGAAGAAGACTGCATAAACATGAGTGGTTCTGTTTCTCCCTTTTCGTTTTGAAACAGCATCACCTAAGTAGTCCAGGCTCCATCAAACTCCCAGCATCACCTAAGTAGTCCAGGCTCCACCAAACTCCCAGCATCACCTAAGAAGTCCAGGCTCCATCAAACTCCCAGCATCACCTAAGTAGTCCAGGCTCCACCAAACTCCCAGCATCACCTAAGAAGTCCAGGCTCCATCAAACTCCCAGCATCACCTCAGTAGTTCAGGCTCCATGAAACTCCCAGCATCACCTAAAAAGTCCAGGCTCTATCGAACTCCCAGTCTTCTTGCCGCAGCTTGAGGTGTCACAGGTGTGTGCCACCATGTTCAGTTGTTTTTTTTAAGAGGAAGTTTCTCCATTTTGCTCAGGCTGGTCTAAATTTCCTAAGTCCAACTGATCTTCCCACCTCAGCTTCCTGAGTATGAGGATTACAGGAGCTACCACTGTGCTCATTTTAAACACGGTATTCTGATCCACAGAACTAACATAATAGCTCACCGATTAGCAGGTGAAGAAAGATGTAAGTAGGTGTCTTATGATGGTGTTGCCTGATAAACAGCAAGTTTCTAAGCATACTGGGAAGAAAACTGATTCAAAGTGCAGTAGTAGAGATTATTTATCTAATTTACTAGACCTAAGCCAGTTCACAATCCTAGAACAGAGCCCTCTGAGTAAATGAGAAGCCAGTCTCTACTGTATAGCCTCCTGAATCTATTTTCTGAGACTAGCCTGAAGGTTTGCAGTCTGACTGCCAGGCCACTATCCATTCTGAAAACAAAAACAAAACAGAACACCTGAACCTTCTTGGGGTCATCATAGCTTGGTTCTTCTAAACTGGCAGAATATCTGAACTCTCAAAACATCACCACAGTGCAGTAATCAGAAAGGAAGTCTTTGGAGGTCATGTCAATAAATGACATCATAGATCAAGTATATTAAAATAGGACTAAGTTTACTACTATAGCCCTATAATATACATATATAGGAATAATAGGTCCCTGTCCAGTGAAGTAAGAGCTATTATGATGGAACAGGTGATGGGTAGCTCTGGAGTGCTCATTTCTCTATTCCAGGAGAGTAAATCCAAGCAACCAGGTATCCCCCCCCATGGTAACAGAAAGTAATGACACATAAATCTGAACAGTGACCACCAGAGGTTCTTCTGCCACACTACATGTAGGCATTTGCCTTGTTCTTCTATTAATTCTTCATTTACCTACCTTCCTTTTAACATCAATATTCTCAGCTCCCTCATTTATAAAGCTAGGATTGAAATCTTATCTACTTCAAGAGGTTACGGTGAAGGTTCAATGAGTTAATATGCATACACCTTAAGGAATGTCTTACATACAGTAAGAATTCACCTAACATTCACTATGATTCGGTCATACTGACTCTACTCCTCTTTAATAGTGCTAAACTTGAGAGCCCAGTCCTATCTTCCCTATACTGCTGGAGTAACATCTTAAAAACACTCCCTAATTCTTCTGTGTTCTCTACATAATCCGCCTAGCGTGTCCTACCCCCAAAACTCAAGATAAACAGCAATCTGTGGCAAACACGACAGGAGACCTTCCATAAGTGAACAGCTGCCTCTAATGACATTTTTGGAGGATCTTTACAAATCTAAAATTCTAAGACTGCGTTGAAAGTTATATTTTCCTATCTTTACAGCTAATCCTAAACTTACACTTATAGAAACATAAGTCAAGTCTAACGGGGAAGCTGATACAATCTTTCAAAGAAAAGCAACTCTAAGATCTAGTCCATTTAATTCATACAAGTTCTTCTGAGAAAGTACAATAAAGTACTTAGGTTTTCAATGATTTCCCCCTGTATTAGGTTTTACCAGTTAACCATAAACCAAAAAAAAAAAAAAAAAAAAAAAAGCGCTATTCTAAACCTCATCACAAAGCAGTACTACCTAAACCATATCAGTGAAGAATGAGAAAGAGCAGGTCCCTCAGAGGTCAAGTCAAGTCAATGTGTGTACATTTTAATTTGTTCATGGGATAAACCTTGCTAGTGGTTTATTGTTGTCTAACGCAGGCAATGTAAGAGTTGACTAAAACGACTTTGTACTCCATGACATACTTAGTAAGTATTAAACATTTTAATCTGGAAAGGAGGCGGGGAGAACTGAGGCAACAGAATTAGCAAAAGGATATGATAATCAAACAGACTTGAATTCTAGTTTTCAGTTTCTCATTCTTGAGGCACCATCATCTGGAAGATTACAGAATCTCTAGGAACTGCGAAAGGCTGATTTAGGAATGAGCTTACCACAACAGATTTTCTCTGGAAGTTTATGTTGTTGATACAGACGACCTGATGGGTTGTATACCAAAAAAAAAGAAAGAAAGAAAACGACTATTATTAAATAAAAGCATAACTGTATCCATGTACAAATAAGATCTACGTTCCAAACAGCTAACTTGCTAAGTTTCTATCTTCAAAGCCTACTAGGTGAGTAATCTTCTATTTTAAATCTAGCAAGAGCCATGGAAAGGTTTGTATTGGCAAAAATATAGCGGTGCATTAAAAAGGGTTTCTGAGCCTGCAGGGGGGGGTAAGCTGAATATTATTATACAGTCATTCAAAACATTTTCACGCTGCAGACACCCGGTCCACTGGAGTGAACTCTTAGTTCCCCACTAGTCTCCCAGACCCATCAAACCTTTCACAGAAACAACGGAAACAAAATCAAAGAAGGGCGAGAAACTGGGGTGAGAAGGTGTACTTATAATTTGTACGGCCGTGGGCTCTCGAAGCCCTTGTCTCCTTTCTTCCTGTTCATCCTGGAGGTCTCTATGCCGGTGGGCGGCATGAAGCGCTCCCGCGCGGCTCGCCTTCCCGGCTGCTCGGGGGGCTGTGGCGCATTCCGGGGAGCCACCCGTGCACCCTGAGTGCCGGGTCCCCCGACCTCGACCTCGCGTCCCCTCCTCGACCACTCCTAGCCGTCTCCGTCCGGCTCCTGTCACACAAATGTGCCGCTCTACAGACGCTCAGAGCCGCCGACGGCCGACATCTTGCCGGTCACCTCTGACCCGCTACGTCAGAGGAAGTGGGACGGGGCGAAGGCGGGATTCGGAAGTCTGGCGCTGGTGTCTGTAGGCGGGGCTTGTGCGGCGGAAGATTTGACTGTTTTCTCGCTCGTGTCTAAAAGCTCTAAAATTTAGGAGAGCAGAGGAAAGGTTTGCTGGATGAGAAGAGTGGGAAGAGAGGGAGAGGACGTTAAGTGTGGAGGTCAAGGATCCAGGTATAACCGAGGTGAGGGGCTAGGAGCTAGAAATGTTCCCCAAACCAAGACGTTGTGCTGTCTCAACAGCAAACTCAACCCATTTGTACCCTGTAATTTAATATAATTAGACCGAGGAGATTCTCAAGTCCCGAAGTCCCAAAACCTACAGATATAAATCAAATCACACCCACAAATACAGAAAATATTATTTAAAGACATCTTGAAAGCCATTGTATTTGCATTTCATGTTCTTGAGGGTCAAAGTAGCAAACGAGCATCTGTTAATTGCCTATTAATTGTGGATTGTCCGTTAACAGTTTTTGCCACCTTCATGGCGTTAACTTCTCTTACCCTTTCTAATGGTCCTGTTGACAAGTTCATTAGCTGACTGTAAATTATTTGAACTTTGGTCTAAACCAAAACTAATTAGGAAAATAAAGCCATAACTTTAACATACGTTCCAAAACGAGAAATTATTTGTCCCCAATGAGCATTTATTAAACCCACACACGGGAAAGGCAGAGCTCATAAATGCCTGCCACAGAGAGCCTCATGCAGGAGCACTTCCTTGTTCTTTCTCATTTGCTGGGAGCATCCTCAGACTTAGATTATTTTCTAAAAGTATATGAGACCCAGGAGATAAATGCTGGGCTTGTTCCCAGTTAGCGTCTTCTCAGAAAGTGGAAGAGAGTGCAGTGCTAATGGAAACTTTTGCTGTTTTAAAGATACACTGAGCCGGGCGTTGGTGGCGCACGCCTTTAATCCCAGCACTCGGGAGGCAGAGGCAGGCGGATCTCTGTGAGTTCGAGTCCAGCCTGGTCTACAGAGCTAGTTCCAGGACAGGCTCCAAAACCACAGAGAAACCCTGTCTCGAAAAACCAAAAAAAAAAAAAAAAAATAAAGATACACTGAGGTGAACTCACTTCTTTCTATGGAGGTACCAGTCTGCTAAATATCTTTGCTCAGAAAGCTACCTGGCAAGTCATACGAGCATCTGTGGGCTCCCTAGCTTCCGGAAAGCTGGAGGCAACTGTCTCAACTTTTGTACAGGAAACAAAAGTCTGTGTTTTCGTGACACACATACAGGTAGTTGAAATGAGGTCTGTGGTCTGGTCAAGGTCAGTGGTTGAATCCTTGTTGCTGTCAACCTCTACACCAGTGGTTCTCAACCTTCCTAATGCAGCGACCTTTTAATACAATTCCTCATGTTGTAGTAACCCCAACCATAAAAAATGTTGCTACTTCATAACTAATTTTTCTACTGTTATGAATCCATATTGATATACAACCACCAAAGGGGTCATGACCCACAGGTTGAGAACCACTGCTCTAGCCCAACAGTTAACACTACCTCATTTGATTTCAATTGGTCACTGGTTGAGTTTAGTAGGTCAGTGGTTGAATCTAGTAGGCCTTCACTGATTGGGAATAATAGGTATATTAGCCAGGGTTCTCTATAGTCACTGAACTTAAGGAATAAATCTGTTTCTATAAATGTATTTATACACACACACACACACACACACACACACACACACACACACACACAGATGAAGAACAAACCCTTCCTTCTTCCATTGTCCTTGATCTGGCTTCCAGCAGAAGGCGTGGCCCGTATGAAAGGTGTGCCTTCCAGCCTCAAAGTCTGGATTAAAGGCAGATGTCTTCAAGCCTCAAGATCCAGATGACAAGTGTGCCCTCCATTTCTGGAGTTCACTCCATTCCAGATACAGTCCAGCTGACAGGACAGCCACCACAGGAAATGATAGCTGAACCTCGTAGGTCTTCACTGGTCAGGTCCAGTAAGTCATCACTGATGGCTTCTATGTGCAGACTGGGGGAATCCGCAGCCAGAGCACACAAGACAGAGTGCTGGATTTTTACAGAGTATGGGGCCTCGATGAGAGCGAGGGCAACCATGGAACAAAAGGAAGGGCTGACCAAAACCAGAAGTGATTTCCAGTTCTCTAGTGAGTAAACCTGTGGGGAGGGGGGACTGGACTGCTCCTCTGGTGTCCTTCACAGAAGATGCAAGATTAAGCACACTTTGTCCACAGTGCACAGTGAAGTAAACAGAGGCCAGTGTCACACCAATGTCAACAACTAATCCAAAGGCCGACGGCGGTTCTTGTTAGTCAACCTGACCACATGTGAAATTGACTACAATCCAAGCAGATTGGTACACCCCTGAGAGATTTTCCTTAGTTAAATGTCTAAAGTCAGAAGACCCAACTTTAATCTGGATCTTTTGAGGTGGGAGGATCCACCTTTAGTGTGGGCCACACCTGGTGGCAGCCAGTATAAGGGCACGGAAGAAGGAAGCTTTTGTTCTTTGTCTGCCTGCTCTCGCTCTTGTTGGCAAGTTCTCTCCTTCACCAGCATTAGAACCTACTTCTTTCAGATTCTGAAGGATACTGAACACCAGTTGCGACATCCAACCTCACGGACTGAACAACTACTGGATTCTTAGACTTTTCATTGGTAGACAGCCATTGTTGAACTAACTGAACCACAGCCTGTGAGCCAGTTGAATCCTGACTAATGTATAAATATACCACTTAATTTAGAAATACCTTTTAACAGAATAAAACTTTGTATGAGACTATTACTGATAGTTATTTAGAAAACTTTTATTTTTCTCTACACGCATGTTGTGGTATATGTGCCCATGCACACATCAAATGCATATATAATAATCATAAGTAAAATTTAATCTTTAAAAAAGTCAGGGATAAATATAGGCAAGAGAACTTCTTTTATTATATCCAGCAACTTTATGAAGCAATTTAGTCCTTCCAAAAAAGTATATTAATAACTAGAACACCAAATCTTAATTAAAGATATGGAATTCATATGTGAAAAGCAGAACTTTCTACATATAGAATCGTACAGACTTCAAGATATAAGTACAGATTTTTTCCTCCCCGAGACAGGGTTTTTCTGTGTAACCCTGGCTGTCTTGGACTTCTTCTGTAGACCAGGCTGACCTGAAATTGAAATTCATAGATTCACCTGCCTCTGCCTCCTGAGTGCTGGGATTAAAAGCATGTGCCACCACCGTGAAGTTTTTATTTTTCATCCTTGTATTTAGTGAGTATTATAAAAATGTAACCTGAAGTATATGGAAATATATTATTGCACCAGAGAAATAAAAAAGGATAGTAAATTACAAAATGGCAAAGGGGAGAAAAGGTATTCAAAGAGTTGGTTTTAAAAACCAAGAATAGGGCAAGTAATAGGGGAGGTAAAGGTGCTTGCTGAGTGAGCCTGGAAACCGGCATTTGATCCCTGAACTGGAAAGGTGGGAGGAGAGACAAAAGACTACAAGAAAGTCCTCTGATCTCTACACGCATGTTGTGGTATATGTGCCCATACACACATCATATAAATATACAAGAAAGTCCTCTGATCTCTACACGCATGTTGTGGTGTATGTATCCATGCACACATGAGGTACATATACAAGAAAGCCCTCTGATCTCTACATGCATGTTGTGGTGTATGTGCCCATACACACATCATATAAATATACAAGAAAGTCCTCTGATCTCTACACGCATGTTGTGGTGTATGTATCCATGCACACATGAGGTACATATACAAGAAAGCCCTCTGATCTCTACATGCATGTTGTGGTGTATGTGCCCATACACACATCATATAAATATACAAGAAAGTCCTCTGATCTCTACACGCATGTTGTGGTATATGTGCCCATACACACGTCATATACATATACAAGAAAGTCCTCTGATCTCTACACGCATGTTGTGGTGTATGTACCCATGCACACATCTTACACATATACAAGAAAGCCCTCTGATCCCTACACGCATGTTGTGGTATATGTGCCCATGCACACATCATATGCATATATAATAATCATAAGTAAAATTTAATCTTTAAAAAAGTCAGGGATAAAAGTAGGCAAGAGAATCTTCTTTTATTATATCCAGCAACTTTATGAAGCAATTTAGTCCTTCCAAAAAGTGCCCCATTCTTTTTTTGTTTCTTGAGACAGGGTTTCTCTGTAGCTTTGGAGCCTGTCCTGGAGCTCACTCTGTAGACCAGGCTGGCCCCGAATTCACATAGATTCACCTGTCTCTGCCACCGGAGTGCTGGGAGTAAGTAAATAAAAGCATGTGCCACCACCACCGGGTGTGTGCCATTCTTTTAAGAAATTAGTCTTCTTGAATTATAAACTTTCACACCATTTTGCATTGAAGAACGAGAATATTTAGTAAGTAACGCACCTACAGTTTGCTTCTCTCCACATAAATCTCTGTGGGAATAAAAATAAATTCCATGAATATTTTAGGGAACATAAAATGATAACGGTACTGCTTAGTTTATCTCTATCTCCTAAGGCCATTTTCTTTCTGTTTTTTGTTTTTGAGACAGGGTTTCTCTTATATATACCTAGCTGTCTTGAAACTCTCTTTATAGGGCCAGCAAGATGGTTCAGCAGATAAAGGTGCTTGCTGAACAAACCTGGCAATCTGTGTTTGATCCCTGAACTTGCAAGGTGGGAGGGGAAAAAAAGGCTACAGGAATGCCCTCTGATCTGTACATGCGTGTTGTGGCGTATGTGCTCATTCACACATTGTGTACATACACAGTAATCATAAGTAAAATTTAATCTTAGACTGGCCTGAATTCAGAGATTCACCTACCTCTGCCTCCCAAGTGCTGGGACTAAAAAAGGTGGGTGCCACCATACCTGACTTAAAGTCATTGTTCTAATAGCCCTGTGAGAAGAACAGTGAAAACTCTGTTGTGGGATAGTTGTACACTGTGAAGATGTATTTGCTGTGATTGGTGG